TTTACAAAAAAAGTGACTATACCACATTACCTACCTATACCACATTTGCATCACTTACTCTATAGTCGGTCAGACTCTTGTCCTTTCCTTTCCGGTTATAGAAGACGTATGGCAGAAATAGTATATACAGTGTCGGTGTCGGACGTAATTAGCACACACCTGATGGGAAATGTGTTTTGATTAAACTTCGATTCGTTTGGAATAATTTTACATTTTTATACCCTACACAACTATGTTGTCAGGGTATTATAGCTTTGTGCAGCCCCGTAACGTCGCGAAATATTGGTCCTAGACCCACCTTTAAGTATACCGATCGTCATATCTCGACTAGCTGAGTCGATCTATTCCATTATAATTTGTAAACACGATACAGGCCACAGTTATGGACCAATCTTCACGAAATTTTGCATGTAGGATGGGTTCTGGCAAATGAAGACCCCTATTGTTTTTGATAAAGATCATTTAATATTTAGGGGATGAAATGGACCAAATACTAAATTTTTGTCGGTTTTTCTGGTCGCTCCAGAGGCCGCAGTTATGGTCCGAACATCGTGAAATTTTACATGGAGAAGTAGATGGGGCCTAAGAATAAGCATACCTGTTTTGATAAAGATCGGTCAATATTTAGCGGGTCAAATGGACCCTGACTTTTGTGTGAAAAATTACAAAACTTTATTCGGGGGCGTATATAGTTTCTCCTGAAGGACATATACTCGAGATGTTGATAGCATGTCCAAGATGAGTTGTTGACCTTCAAATTGATACCAATTATATGGCTCTATGTACTCCGATGCGGGAGTTATTCGTAATTAAGTAAAGGTGACTATGTGCATATTATTACTATTACTCCATTAGAGGACGGAAATGTCGTGCTGATCGCTTTGAAATTGTACATGAAGTTCCGATTATGGTCAAGGACGACGCTTAAGTTTTCGGTGAAGTTGAGATTTCATTCAGGGGGTGCAATGAACCGAAAATTTTAATTTTGTCAGATTTTCTAGTCGCTCTAGAGGCAATTATTTATGCAGAACATCACATATTTTACAAGGTGAAGGGGATCTGACCAAATACTTAGAGCGGCTGTTTAGATGATGATCGCTCAGAATATAGAACCGCCGAAAGTGTGCTTTTCGTGATATATAACAATATTTAGGAAACAAGTCATATTTGATGGGGGACATGTAATTAGCACATCTTTGAATTTCTAACTTAAATGTCGTTAATATTAAAACATTTAAACAAGAAACAACTTCATGTTAAGTGTGATGAACCATTTTTTGAAAAAAATCTATAAACTCTATTAAAATTGGCAACAATTCGTACTTTAAACCTAAAATTGGAAACGTCAGCCTTTGTATAAAACATAAGAATGGCATAAGAATGGAAGAACATAAGAAATGGCGAATGACCAAGAAATTGCTAGAATAAATAATAGGAATTAAAAAAATTGTATATATTTTCTCCTCTCTTCTATTAATTCGTTTATATGGTTTAAAGAAAGTAAAACAAAATGTATGGTGCCATCTATATTCCATTAAACGTCGTAAACTTGAGACATGTTTTTACATACAGATAGCAGGGTATAATGTTAAAAACAACATTAATTACAGTTTCCATTTCAAATTTTAAAGATTTTCAAAAATATAGTATATTATTATAACGTGTTTTAAAGGCTTGTAACTATATAAAAAAATACATAAATGCAATAAATCCAATAAAATGTTTTTTTTTTCAGTACACATAATCAAATATACCATCATACGATCATACGAAAACATTTATCTTTTATATTTATTGTGAAAAAATTGGAAATTATTGGATTATTTTCTTTTGAGTAAATGCGGAGATTAAAGAACCCCTCCTTAAAAGTTTTAAAAAGCGCTCTCTCCAATAAATTGACTATATATCCAAATATTTTTTAAAAGTCCAATTACAATTTTTAAGGGACATTTTTGAACAGTTTGTAGTTCGATTTTAATAATCTTTGAATAGTCCAAGTGGTGCCATTATGCGATTTTAACATTTTCTCTGAAATCCCTAAATAATGTCTACAACCCAACGGTCTAAAGTCGGGTACATTTGCACTTTTTTATTAAAAAATACTGTAGAATTTTTTATAATGGGTGAATGACAAAATTAACTTCCTTTAAATACAATGGTGGAGGAAATGAGTATAAACAATTAATAAGGGGTTTGATATGGTCATAGAAGCATATATAAAATCTCTCGTTGCAAACTTTTCATGATATTGACCTCCGAAGTTTGCCTACTTTAAGGTATAAAATGGGTAAAAACAGGGTGAGGCAACCTGGTTTTTCATATTTTTCTCAATTCACGGCCTTCGCGCTTCGTGCCTAGAAAGTGAGCAGTCCGTCCATTATGTATCGTTTTTCGAAAATGTATCCTTTAAATGATGTTGATATATACTACATCTTAGTCGTCAAATGAAATTTCGCAAAATATACATGTATTGGAATATAACCTTCAGTACTTCCTGGAAATTGCATGCCCATGAAATGCTTTTGAGGATTACGCGATTTAGACGCAATTTAAAATGTATATTTCGCAATATAGTTTTAGTTTAAGATTATTTGATATTTATAAAACCACACGATTTATTTGACCACAAGGTTTATACATATACACAACATGTGATTATTTTTATATACGCATATTTTCCTTTGTAATTTAGAGAAATATAAGAATAACTCCAGATTATGTTTTCTAAAATGTCTTGCATAAAATTAATCAGTGAGCGGAGCAGTATAATCGGATGGGGCCGACCATACGATACCCTACACAACTTCCATGAAAATCTAACTTTCTGTGGTTCTACATTCTGAGATTGGGCAATATTTCGCGATATTTGCACACTTTTGATTGGCTATAGGTCAGCAAATGTTACTAATAATCAGTACAGGACCTCTAATTACTTGTCCAGATTCCCTTCACCGTGGGTTGTGTTGTGATGTTCGGCTTTCGACTCGAAAAGTACAAATAATTAAGTTTTCGGTTCACTTCATCCGAAAAATATTATCTGATCATCACATAGCATTTTAGGCGTTGTCCTTGACCATAACTGGAACCTCATGGAACATTTTAAAGCGATCAGCGCTATATTTCCGCCTCCTGTGTGGTAATACGTTACTAAATAATATATTTATACGTAAGCACCTGTAAACATTTAAGTGTAACTCCCGCATCCGAGTACCTACGACAATATAATTGGTATCAATTTAAAGGTCAACCACTCTTCTTGGATATGCTATCAACTTCTCGGGTCTTCAGGGGTAAATATATACGCTGTAGAACACAAATTTTGTCATTTTTCACACAAAAGTCAGGGTTCATTTGACCTGCTAAATATTGACCGATCTTTATCAAAACAGACATGCTTATTCTTTGTCCCGATCCCCTTCTCCATGCAAAAATGTGCAGTGTTTGGGCCATAATAGCGGCCTCTGGAGCGACCAGAAAAACCAACAAAAATAAAGTTTTTGGTCCATTTCATCCCCTAAATATTAACCGACCAAAAACAATAGGGGTCTTCATTGGCCAGAACCCATCCTACATGCGAAATTTCGTGAAGATTGGTCCATAACTGTTGCCTGTATCGTGTTTACAAATTATAATGGACAGACGGACGGACACACATGTCTAGATCGACTCAGCTAGTCGAGATATGGCGATCGGTGTACTTAAAGGTGGGTCCAATATTTCGCGGTGTTACAAACTTTTGGAGCTGCACAAAGCTATAATACCCTGACAACATAGTTGTGTAGGGTATAAAAACTAAATTTTGATATCGTTTGATTTAGCGTGGTATTTATATCATGTAGATATTTTTGAATTATTTTTAGGTGGATATATTTCTTTAAGGTGACCCTTAATAATCCTAGTTCATACGAGAGCCAGACATGTATCCTTTCTAACACCGTTCCAATGAGGTCTTATCATGCCCGCCATCAAAAAAAGGACTTTTCTTTAATCCCATAAAACAACAACAAAACAATAACAAAAAATTTAAACTGATGAAGTATAGTTAAAATAACGAGTTTTTGGCACCAGACCGGGCCAGATACAATTTAATTTTTCACCTCCATCAAAGTCCCTAGATTTGAAATATATAACGTTTTATCGGCTCTACCTGAATTGGACTTTTTGCCTGTCGCATAGTGCATACATGGCATAATTGTAGAAGGTAGTCTCATGCCGTCATATGTTTTCAATTTTTTCATAAATTTGCCTTTGCCAGTATTCAGCTTTCAAAATTTAAATGAAAATATATTCCTTCGAAATGTACGTATAATATTTGTTCAGTGGCAAAAATTGCTAAATTAGTTATATTTATAAATATTTGGAAGTTGCCTACCTCAAAAACGTATAAATATAAGTTGTAACAACCATGGTTAAATCTTGAGAGCAATGTCCAGCTTTAGAAAATATATTTTGTTTAATTTATTTAAAATTTGACAAACGACATATATAAAATTTTATGGAATTTATTTTTGAAATTGATATATGAATTCTAAATTAAAAACAGTTGCCATCATCAAATTCTCAAATGAAACTACCTTCTGTAATTATGCCATGAGCACATAGAGGGAATTCTATTTTACATTTACTAGGAATTATTAATAACCTTTATATGGATATTTAAGAAAAAGATACTTTTATTAAGTTCTCACTTACAATATTTGTTCTAAACTTACCCAACATTTGGCAAACAAATTTATTAAGTAAAACTCATTTTTGAATTTAAAATTTATTTAAATATATACATTAAATACTGTAACGATAATCAAAACAATTCAAAACTGATAAATATAATAAAAAATATAATATGTAGTTTGAAAAAATTAAGGCAATATTTTGAAACATTATAAATGATGATTAGAGAGAAAAATGATATGAAAATACTTTTCATATGTATTTATATAGAAATTACAATTGTAAAAAATATGTAATAATAAAAAAATAGTGTTTTTTTGTTTAAATAACTAATCCACTTGTTTGCCCTCTTCACGGGTTTTGCGGAATGACACGGAATGTATAAGTAACGGTGGCAAGGCTCCTCTCAACATTTGCAAACGTTTGCTCTTCTCCTTCTCGGGACGTCGGACTTCTTCACGCGAAGAAGAAGCCGAGGGTGTTGTCGTTGGACCTGTTCCCGACAATACTTCACTACTGGCCGTTATCATGGCCGATTTGCGGAAATAGCGCGGCATTGAATAATCTTCAGCACGAGCGGCATTTGCCGTTTGTATTGAATAGAGGGATTGTGAGACGCGATATTTTTCAATTGTCGGTGTATCTTCATAGTGTTTGGGCAAATTACTAAACGATATGGACGGAACTTCTGGTGTCATACTAATGGGATTGCCCGAGCCGGTTATGGCGAATATATCTGTTTCACTAGCTGCTGTTCGAACATTGAAGTGTGGTACACTCTTGGCGCTGCGCAATACTTTACGTGGTGTAGTGGTAATGCCAGATGGTGGCATTAAATGTGGATGACGATCAATGAGACGTGGTCGTAGAATTACTTCATCTTCTTTTTCATCCTCGTCTTTCCCAGCATCGACAACTGAAGGTGTGTCCTCTTCGGCAATAGAGTCGAATTTCTTCGGTGACAAAGTCATACTGCCCTCAGGCGAAGAATCGCTACTTATGGTAAAAGTAATACGCCGTTCGGGAGATGCATCTTTAGTATCAGTAACCGTTTTGTCAGTGGGAGAGTCCAATGTATCACCTTTAGCTAGATTAGCTAGAAATTAAATAAGAATATATTAGTTAAGAAATTTGAAAATTTTTGTCATTGTTTTGAAAATAATATTTATATATAGTAATATGTATATTTTAAGAAAAAATATTTGAATAATTTAGATGTGATATATAATTCGAACTGATGTGATTTAGAAACGTGGATATACAATTAATTATTTATGTATATAACAATAAATAAAAATGTTCATATAAAGTTAAATACAAATTATAACGCATAACTGTTTTAACACAGCATATGTTTATTATATAAAATATATGTATATATTTATAAATAAAAAACAAAGATTTACTGAAGTATCACAACTAATAACATGTTTTTAAAATAAATATCAATAAAATTATGCATTTCAATTTTCCTACAATATTTTTTTATTAAGTTATTCAAAAGTTTAGCTACACTCTGCACACAAGGTGGGAGTATAAATCTTCATAAATATGTTATTACAGGTTAAATCTGTTGTCAATATTCAGGAGTAATTTAGTTTTGACATTTTTTTTAATTTTAACTAAAGGCAAAACATTTTGTCTAGTAGACAATTAAAAAAACAACAAATACAAACTATGTACGGATCTAATTTTTTTACACATTCAAAATGCACAATTATATCTCCGACGACATATTTAAACATTTTCTCCCAACAGCCACAAAAACTAGTTTTTTATGTTATGTAGCTAGTCCCAGCACCGTACCTGTTACAAATTTGATCCTAAAGTAATATCAGCCGAACCAATTGACTACCATTTTATCCTGTAGTAAAGGAGAAGGATTCTCTTGTTATTATAAAAAAAAACCACGGGTTTTTGTGGTTGGTCTGCATAAAAAGTCCGTTATTCTCCATGAATGTAAGATGAATTTTGTTTGGAAATAACCAGTCTTTTTGTGATCGTCTTGAAGTGCGGTGGCATCAAATTGTGAAATATATCACGCAAAACAAATGATTTAGAACTCAAGCGGAAAGATGTATATGAAAGTAATTCTATATATAATTATATATAATTTATTTCTATTGAATATATTATATTATATTTTCATTACAGAACAAAGACTCTGGCAAATTATGGAATTAGTAATTTTTGCAATGTTCTTTTAGGTAAGGTATTAGACATATATTTCCTCTTGTTTACTATAATATTATAATCATTGTTATTTATTTCCAGAATATAATTACTAGTATAGTACTACGGTAAGCGAAGGAGTGTCAATTGGTTGCCTCCTATGACATCACCATGTTAAAGTAAACAGTTAAATACATTGTTAAGGGGGTGTAAAGTGGAACTAGTCACTGGAGAGCTGGGAATCGACGAGTTTCTGATTACGAACTTAGTTCCTCTTGCTAGCGGGATGACTTTAAATCTTAATGTATTAGCATTTTAAAACATAATTGGAATTTCATTTTAATTGTCTAAGGTTGTACATAAAATAAATTGAATTAAAGACAAAATATTTTTGTTCTTGCATCCCCATATCATACATGCAACCCCATATCATAATCGATCCACAACCAAGATTAATAGTCGCTGGTAAATTACATTCTCCGAGCTCCGATGAGGGTCCATCAGATCGAAAATGGTTCCATTGGTAAATAAAACTGTCTTCCAAAAAAGACAATTCTTTATTTTGTTATTCTTTTGAAAATTTTCTGTTTTCCTTGTTTTTTCCGTTTATTAGTGTTTTTTCGAGCCACCAGGGTTGGCATCCTTTTTAGGATAGTGCGACACATGGCAGATAGCTTTGAGGTACTTATTAATTAGCTGCCTGATTCGTCGCCCGTCCCAGTCAGAAAATATCCGCTTCTTGCCGCATTTTCATACCTTCCACCCATAGTATGGAGGGTATATTAATTTTGTCATTCCGTTTGTAACTCATTATATATGCTTGATCAGGGTAAAATTCAAAGACGATCTAGCCATGTCCGTCCGCCCGTCCGTCTGTTGTAATCACGCTATCTTCTGAAGGAATTGAGATAGGGTACTGAAATTTTGCATAGGTTTGTCTTTTGTTTGCAGGCAGGTCAAGTTCGAAGATGGGATATATCGGTCAACGTTTAGGCATAGCTCCCATATAACAGTTCCTCCAATTTTCGGTATTTTGGGGTTCATGAGCGCGTTTTTCAACCGAATACTCTGAAATTTGGTACATTAAGTTCTTATTGGGTACTAAATGTCTTCACAAAAAATTAAAAAAATAGGTTCACTTTTTCTGGTAGCCCCCATATAACGGTACCTTATAATTTTCAGTATTTTGGAGGGTTTGATTGTATTTTTACGAATTGGCTGGAATTTATTTTTTGAGTTCTTAATAGGTACCAAATCTCTCCACAAAAAATCATAAATATAGCTCCATTTTTTGGATAGGCCCCATATAAGGGTACCCCCAATTTTCGGTATTTTGAGGTTCTTGAGCGCGTTTGTCCACTGAATGCGTTGCAATTTGGTATTTTGTAGTCGTATATGGTAACAAATCTCCCTACCGAAAATTTTTAATATTCGCCCCCTTTTTGGGATAGTCCCCCTTTTTTTATATTAAAATATTTATCGGATTTGTTCCGCGTTTTGGGTTTGGTTCCAAGACTCTGTTGCAATCATTTCACCTGCGGAGGATATAGAGATAAAAACTAGAACGTAAGGTTCGATAACGAACTATATAGGAACTATAACCCGATACTATATACCAGATAGAGTGGAAAGATATTCCCCATCTTCGAACTTGAACTAAGTTTGGAAGAAATAATAAGATGGGCAAAGTTTGGATGAAATCAAAATTTTCTGAAACAAATTTGGTCCAAAGAAACATGGGGTCTAGAACCAATATTTCGATGAGGCTCATTTTCACCGTGTCAAAGTGTATACACCCTCATTAGCCATAAGTATGAGGGTACAATTATCCATTAAAATTTCTGAAATTTGTATCATGGTTTACATAATCGGTTTGTAGAAATGTCGATATGAGTCCACTTTTTGGTATTTTCCCTATCTATGGTGGAGGGTATCCAAAGTCCGGCTCGGCCGAACTTAACGCGTTTTCACTTGTTCCAATTGAATTAGATGACTTACAGCTTATATACGATTTTTCTAATATCTCCGACCGATTTACCGTCTTCGAAGTGGTTTATAACTAGTTTTCTAATCTCCGCAAAAGTTTGACCAATTTGTCAACCCATTTTGGAAGTTACAAAAAAAGTATGAAGCGTTGCCATATAGAAAAATAAAATAAATGTAGAGAGTTAGTGAATGTGATGCCAGATGTCCCACTTTCATTTTGACGCGAAAAAAATATGCTTTGATTATTATTTAATTGAATTATTATATACCTTTATTCATATATTGTTTCTATTGCAAAAATTTGTACATGCTATCACAGTTTTTTTTTGAGCCACTGTATTTATAATGAAAAAACTCCTCCTCTACAATAGACCTCGTTGAATTAGTTGGTTGGTTCATAGGCTTAGGGTATATATCTGTCGGCACTACAGGTGTATATACTGATACTTTTTACTTGTTAATAAATAAAACTTATAATTTATGTCAATGTGAACATTTTGCTTCTCATATTATTATATTTAACCCTTTCCGTGTCAAATAAAAAATTTTGTCAGAATAAAAATTTAAAATTTTGTATTTAAAATCATATAAAGGGACATAGTTTAGAAAAAATAGCAATCGTCATTTTAAACCTCGGCCAGTTTCTTCTGTCTTTCAGCAAAAACAAAAACATCTATAGTAACGGTACATATGATAACCGAAAAATCGCAAAAAAAGAGAGTACTTTTAAATGTCGAATATATTCGACAAAAATACGGAAAGGGTTAATATCTGTAATATAATAAGGAAGCGTTTCATCTGAAAGTATTTCCAACAAATCAAGGTTTAAAGAAGACTCAAGGCTTAAACAAATTATTCCACAAACCTCATATTTATGTACATTTGCAATATTTTTATATGAAAAAGCAAACATTCTTAAATTTATAAATTTAAAATGACAAAGCAACATAGGTTTTGAAACAATATATACTTTTTACGTGTTGCATACTTTAGGGCGCTTAATTTACGTTTGTTCCCTATTCACTTGAACATTACATTTTAAATTTTCTCTACAATTGATTATTGTTCATCTTGATAAAGAAATTTGTCTCAAAATTCGAAAAATTATGACAGGATAGACCAATTCTTTCGTTCGGATGTTTTGAAAAATCTGAGAATACCTCTCAGATAAACAGAAATGTAAAATTACAGCCACTTCGGAAAGAATCGGTCGGGACCATTAATTGGGACGATGTTTAAATATTGATCTACGGAATCCTCCCTCAGTAAAATATAAACTCCAACCTTCATTTTCTTTAACCTTTCAAATATTTCAAATAAGTGAAATAATTCTTAATTTTGTAGCAACAATTTTGTCAACTATTAATATTTTTATTTATCTGAATGATAAATGAACATAGTTGTAATACAGGACAATTTTTTTGGAATATATTACATGTTAGGAATTTATAATTTTAATTGAATGGATTTTAACTTCATTTTATAAATTCCAATATAATGACATTGGAACTTTGCGACAAACATCACACACAACTTTTAATTTTTTAGATTGTTATTTTTGCAATCTAGAATATGAAAACATTTATAGCCAAATGCAACTTTACCTACACATATTTTACAATAATCATATATGAAAGTAAATATTTTATTTTTATTTCTGTTATGGTATTCAATAATGTTGATATTGAAATCCGATTGATTATAATCACATAAGTTGTGTAACCTTCAATTTATATTTCAAGGCAACAAATGTAATTATCGATCAGTACAAAATATTCTGCGGCGTGGTATTTTTAACTGTCGGCATTTTTAGTTGTAAAAATTGCCAATACATTTTGGAAGATTACTGATTGATATGACATGATATAGTTTTAAGACCGTGGTTAATATTTTCAGAAAATAATGTTTAATATGTGAGTAAAGTTAGATTGTAACATT